CGCTGTGAGAACAGCACATCCGGCATGGAGCACTCACACCGCGGGATGGTCGGCGATATTTTCCCCCCGTCATCAAGTGTCGAGTTGGACGCAAAAAGGGAGCCTAAAAGGTCGGCTTTGTCTTTTGCGGCTTGGGCTAGTGAGTCGTCCTCCCTGTGCAGAGATGGTAGTGATGGCTTACAGAAATTCCCTTGGACAGCCTTGGCGTGAGACCAGAATGCACGGGTTCCCGAAGGAAGGCGAACTAGTTTCTCGCCAATTCTGCCTATGTGCTCTGACTTTGCCTTGGCAATAACTCTTTTGAAGGACCTGGAGACAAAGTTATACTTCTTTTTAAGTGTGCTGGTGTTTACATCCCGAGTCGCGGAAGTCGCAGCCCAGGCTTGATAACACTCCTGCTTACTGCGTAATGCAGTCTTACAGGAGCGACCAAACCAAGGCTGAGATCTGCCTCCGATGGGTACCACAGATGATGGAATAAATAGTTCCATTCCCTGTAGCACCACATCAGTAACAAAGTCAGCCACAGCGCTGGGATCATCCGGCGAGAAGCAAACCCGCCCCCATGGGTAGGATGCAAAGAAAGAACGCATTCCGTCCCAATCCGCCGACCTGTAATGCCAAACACGGCGGCAACCTGCAGAACGCAACCGCGAAGGGAGCGTGAGTGGCACCATACTCCGGATCAGACAATGGTCCGAAGAGCCGAGAGGGGCATCGACAGAAACCTGATATCCGTCTGGATTATAGGTCAGCAGAAGGTCCAACAGGGAAGGTGTATGATCCTCCACATCTGGAATCCGCGTAGGCGAAGTAACCAGTTGTGTCAGACCATATGCCAAGGCAAAGTCATAAACAGATCTCCCCGCATGATCGGTTAAACGTGAACCGAGCCATTCGGCGTGGTGGGCGTTAAAATCGCTAAGGATCACGATCTCTGCGGATGGGACCTGTTGTAGCAAGGAATCTGTAACCATTTGGACGTGGTCGATGAGTCGGTCTGTTTCGGTATTACCGCTATGGGACCTGTAGAGGCACCCGTAGACGCGCGGATAGTGGTCGCTGTCTACGCATAGCCAAAGGATGGACAGGTCCGAACCTTCAAGACTGCCGAGGCGTCGAGAACAGATGTCCTCTCTGACATACACGCAAACTCCAGCCCGAGGCACAAAGGAGTGCTCCATTTTGTACCCCGGGTAGGAGAGATACGAAATATCAGCCGGAGAGGAAACCTGCGTCTCTGTCAGAAAGAGCAAGGCCGGCTTCGCCGTCTCGAGATGGTAGTAGACGGCGTTTAGGTTAGAGTGAAGTCCCCTGATGTTGCAGAAATTCACGGATAGCGTGGCAGGGGTCGCCTTGGTATTGTTGCTCAGTTTGCCCCGAGCAGTTATGTTTTTGAGCGGAATTTTGCCCCCCCCCCTCCAGAATACGCGGGGCAGAGCCTGAGCACCCATGCTCAGAATTGGAATAACATGGTCGTGGATGCTCAGCGAGGGATTCTCCAGGGGTATGGTACCCTCCTGGGGTAGCCTTTCGTGTAATTCTGCTACCATGTTGATGGGGGGGGGGGGGGGGGGAATTGGGCCTCCGGCCACCTGCACGCACCAGACGAAACGCAGAAGCAGAGTGTCTACTTCACGCCGGTATTCTGTGAGGTCGTTGTACCCACCCGGCTCGAGCCGGCCCATACGTGCAACAGCAAAAACTGCTGGGTGGCTCTACCACCGTTATATGTGTGTTTAAGAAACCTGTGTCGACAATAGGTTTTTTTCTGCAACAGGTTTCTAAATAACCACGTAATCTTAACACGTTGTTTAAGTACTATTAGTTATTGTTTTGTATAGTCGTTACAATGGTGGGCAATAAAACTTATATAAACAATTGTTTACAGTATAATGTACCAACATTTTAATTTTTATTAGCATTTGAAATAATTAGTGTCCGACCAAAACAGGATTTTAAACCGAAACAGAAACCGAAAATGAACCTTCGGTCTGGGTGTCAGTTTCGGCCGAAACCGAAACTTATTTAGACATGTTAATTTTTTTGTATACTGAAATCTTGTATATTTTTATACATAATATACAGATAGGTAATGCATGTTAATGATAAACAGCAACTATAATAATCATGTAGCAATATATTTATTTATTTTAAAGTAAAAATCAACAATTTAACGTAAAGAAATACTTTTCTGCCGACTTCAAAAGGGACGCGGTACTCAATTCGACTGTATGTTTTTTTATGTGTGTTACCTCATAACTTTTTACTGGGTGAACCGATTTCGATGATTCTTTTTTTTATTTGAAAGCTGGTGCTTCACATGTAGTCTCATATAAATTTGATCAAGGTCTGACCAATGGTTTTTGAGTTATTCTTAATAATTTATACTGAAGTCGGTTGTAAAAATTTTAAATTATTTAAACCAATTTTGTAAAATATCAACACTTACACCAATAAAAACTTATTCGCTAATTGAGAACATATTTTGATTGTGTTCACAATATTATTAATATTATTCAATGAGACCATTAACATAATATATCACAAACAATATACACACAACTTAACAAAATCCCAGAAATATATACAAAACCTGCCAAAAAATTTATTTAACTAAGTTTGTATAAAAAGGGTTATTTAGAAATTTAAGGTAATAAGGATTTTATATAATATAATATCCCCTGGATAATAACCCCTGGGAATGATGTGATCACTACCAAACTATTTCTAATTTGTTTCGTGTTGTTAATTACGTTACATACATGATCGAAGCAGTGGCGTAGCTAGGCGTGGGCGAAGTGAGCCTTCGCTCACGGCCTCGCACTTAAAGGGGCCTCGCGAGACTTCTTAAAATGCGATGCTCCCAGACTTTACCACAGATGACTAATTAATTTGATCACTTTTACGCTCGAAAAAGAAAGTCACAAATTTAAGTGTATTTGTTTGGGGCATCGCAAGAAGCCCCTCTTAAGTGTGACTACGAGGCCGTTGTAACTACCTCCGAAGACTGCGACGGTTACATTGACGGAATACGAGACTTGTCAAGAATTAATAGATATAAGTAGGTATGTCGTGTCGAAGCATGTTTGGTAGGATAGATCTATTGGGTAGATCCTTGTAACGAAAGAAAAGGGGCCCCGCTGATGCAACTTCGCCCACGTTTATATTAGTCCATGCTACTACACCTCTGATCGTAAATTGTTACCTATCTAAAAAAAATGTCCCGCTGGGTTTCTTGCTTCCAAGGACAGACGATTTTTTCGAACCAGTGGTAATTAAACAAAAGAGTGACTTTCAGTAAGTATTATTTATAATCTATATTGAATAAAAAAGTTTCTTTTTCTGTTTCTGTATAATTATGAATAATACACGAGTATGGAGTGTAGAGTAGAAGGAGAACCATCTTATAAGGTGCGAAAGTTGAAAAAGTGTTCCAATATATACTGAAAATAGAGGTTCCAAAACCTACCACAATAGCGCTGGCGTCTGAAAAACTACGATATGAATATAGCTGTTGTAGACGGAGTGAAGTCAGCTGAATTAAAATATTTAAAAAATTTCATGACTAGAGTTAGTAAAATGCCAGTATACAAAACCTCAACTATTTACGTAGTACAAAACCAAGCGGATTGGTCGGTCCTTGTTTATTTCTCCATCTTATTCTAATAAATTTTGGCGCCTTTTTTTTAATTTATCCTATGCTACTGCAGCGCCACCCTTATTGGACGCGTTTTTAGGGACACTTCATATACAGAGATGGTTCTCCTTCTACTCTACACTCCATATACACGAGTCAAGAACTCATCCCAACGACGCACGATAATCCACGAACGAAGGTTCGGCAGGTTTTTTTGCCAAAACCTAAATTATTACCGAAACTAGATTTTTTGCCGAAACCGAAACTTCGTTTGGTCACTAGAAATAATAAATTCACAAACCTTTTTGGTTTAAAATTAAAAATATAACTAAAAATGAAACAAAACAAAATTGACAACGTATTGGTAGCAGTGTTAACACATTTAACAATTGGCGCAACCTATTGTGCAATAACGTTTAGTTTTTGGACGTTACTGAAAAAAGCTAATGCGGGATTTGTCGTAACAGGTTACATTTTTATTTTCGACGCAACCCAGAGCCGTAAAGCCAGTTTAAATAAAAAAAAATGTTTAAATAATGGTTTGAAGTATATTTTGATATATAAAAGTGGAAGTGGTGCGATTTTGTGTATTAAGTGTCTGCGCATGTGAACTATTATTGGAAACGGTGAAACATGTGCTCTGATGGTGATGTGATTCTCAAGATAAAGTATCTGTCTGCTTAGGCGCCTTGAGATACCATCGCCAACTGTCGGCTATCTGCTGGCTCAATTTGCCGTCAAAATCTCCCAAGCGCTGCACAATGTGTCGCATCAACATATTGTGACGCAGTACCTATACTATGAAGGATAATTATAATATATTGTAACTTCAGGCTCAGAAGGGCTAGATCCCAGAGCCGTAAAGCCAGTTATAAAAAAAGGGTAATTGAAATTTGAAACCTAGCTTAGCTTAGGGATGGGCAAGGGGCAAAAATTTATCGATATATATCGAATCTATATTTTTAAACAGTATCGATATATATCGCGTGATTAATATCGATATATCGCCATCAATTGCATGATGTAAAAATAAGGCCCAAAATTTTATTTACTGACAGTTAGACGACGAAAAAAACGATACAACATTTTAAAATATATCGAAATTGATATGAAGTCGATACTCTAAAATAAATATCGATATGTCGATATATCGTGATTTAAAATATCGACGATATATATCGATATTTTTTGCCCAAGCCTAGCTTAGCTTGCTAGTTGACCGGGCCTGTACATAATACATATTACATATCTCTATGATTGAAACTTTTAGTAAACATTGTGTGGATATTTATTTTACGAGAAATACATTTTAAATATAATTTTAATATAGTATTTGTATGCACTCAAATAAAATCATACTATGACTACTCGTGAAATACTGACTCTTCAACTTGGTCATTATTCAAATTACGTAGGTGCACATTTTTGGAATATACAGGAACTTGGTTTTGATTATACGGGTACCAAGAAAAGTGAATGTAACAGTGATATTTTATATCGAGAGGGGCAAAATACCAAAGGGCAGATTACTTATACACCTAGATTGCTATTAGCTGACTTAAAAGCTGCCTTAAAGACTCTTCCTGCGAGTGGCGGTTTACCTGATGAAAATATACAAGAAGATTTTCACTGGAATGCAATTGAAAAAATTCAAGAACCTAAAGCAGAAAAAAACGAATTCCTAAGAGATATTGACACAAAGGCTGCAAGTGATGTAATTTCAAAAAAATATACTCTAGAAAATGATATCAGTACATGGACAGATTACTTATACACTAGACTACATTCCAGATCCATTAATATTATAAAGGATTATCAGCATGGAAATGAAAATGTAAGTATGTAATGTGGGTGGGTATCACAGGTATTTTGAGGAACGAGGAGGGTGACTTTTTATGTGCATTTTTGAAAATTTCAATTCAAAAATCAGTTTTGACTTAAAAAACAAAACAATAGAAGGTCCGCTGCTGGAGATGCAGTTTTTTTTTGGAGTGTATAAGGTATGAAACTCCAATATCGTTTTGTGTTAACCAACCCACAAAGCATCACAGAATGAATTTTTGTTGCAAGGGTATGTGGAATGGTTTTTTTTTTCAAAATATGTTTGTTGTTTAAATATAGCCATGTTTAAATATAGTCACCTTATGTCATGTTAGATAATGGGCATGCTTCAGAGTATTATTCATAGATTAAGACCAAATCACAAAAATAATTGTGCTGTAGAATGCTAAATAATAATTTTATTTCAGACATAATTAGTCCATATTAAGTATATTAGTAACAATTTTACTTATATCTATGTTAGTAATGTTAGTGTTTATGCCTACATACGACATAAAGTAGATGAAAAATGTTTTAGAAAATTCATTTTACACACCAGAACACTAATTCTTTAGATGCCCCTAAGTATAATATAACTTAAAATAAACAATTTTAAAAACAAAAACTTGTTAAATATGTCCAGAAAGTGGAACTATTTCATTGGATGATTGATTAATTGAGCAGGGTGCTGTCCTGTGTGGGCAGAAATTAAATATTATCTGAGCATCCTGAGCTACTCAAGGAATCTTAATAAATTATTTCCACTACCAATGACCTCGGGAAGCAACCTTTGCAATCTGAGGAACTTAGCTCTGTAGCTGGAAACTGTGGGATAATTATGTTACTCTAATGTCTAATGTTAATTAAAAGTAGAATGCTAGAATGTAGATTGTTTCCTCTTGCACCATGAAGGTTTTGTACAGAAGACCCTCTACATACTTGTCCAACTCCTTTTTTTCTGGTCCCTTCAAACATCACAATATAAAGAAATTCTTACCAGTTTGTAATTAAATATATGCACCACATTTATTGGTCTCAATTCACATCTCTGCAGTTTTTTTACACAAGGCTGATGCTGACAAAGGCATTGAACCTCATCAAAAAGGAGTTCACTGACATATTATGAAAGAAAAGATCATGTCTAATTTTAACATTTCGCTCAAAGTTGTTGACGAGTAGAACTATGAAAAATTGTTCAATTAGTTAACTTGCAACTTCGACCAATAAATCAATCAGCGAATCCAATTTTGCTGAACAGAGTATGTGAAATTACGACTTCTATATAATTATTTTGTAAAAAAATAATAATTTAAAAAATTATTAAGTTAACCTCTTACTATATGCACTGTGTGAATTCCTTCCACAATCTCGTTGAAAAAAGCTGAACCCAAATTTCATTGAGTGGTGATTGGAAAATCTATTACCAGATTGAAGGTATTCTGCGTTCAAGAACATGCTTGCCCAATGAGGTGAGAATGGGCAGTAATTGGTGCATTCTCAAAGTATTTGGCAGGTAATTTTGTTAGACAAGGGAACATACATTAATTACGTCAGGTGTTTAGGGGGGAGGGGATTCGAGCCGAATCTCACATGGGGGAGAGGGTATTAGCAAATATCACTTTTTTTTCCGCTTGAAACAGTGAAAAATTTCAAGGAAAATTGGGTTTAATTAAGTAAAATATTGCTAAATCTCACACAATAATATTTATCACAGTTATGCAAACTTCACAAATTAAATAAAAATAACTAAGCAAATTTTGTTTTCTTTTTAAATAAACCCAACACAATCTGCGAGTAACACAGATTAACATATTTACACTAAAAATATGCATTTTGAAAAATCTCACGTGATTTGGGGACGGGGAGAGAGGATCAGGTGAGGGGTTCGAGCCATATGTCACGACATCTCACCAGGGGGAGGGGGAGGGAAGAAAACTGCCAATATCGCCTCACGTAATTATTGGACGCCCCCCAAGGTTAAGTCCAGTTGTGAACTTAAAAAAAGCTAGTGTTATGTTGCCTCTTACAACTCACAGGATGATATGAGGTAATGGATATCTTATTGAATAGTGCAAAATAACTATGTTTTTATATAAGTTTTAATGATAAAACTAAGTTAAAATAGAATTAGTACAAACTAACACCATACTGTTTATGAAAGGTTTATTTAATTTTAAAATATACATAGTAATTTCAATTCATTTTTATATATTAATCAAGTTCTGTTGTAATATCTGGTGAACTACAAATGAACCTTTATCCTTTTACCTTGTGACATTATTAATTTATATAAGTTCAAAGGATATCTAAATTACTTCATTCCTCTGTGGAAAAGGTGTAGAATGTTTTAAAATATTGCCACATTATCTTTTAAGAACATTATCATATTTTGTTTGAAAGTGTGAAAAATGGCTTACTGCTACTGGTGTAATCTACTTTACTATGGTAGACAACTATTTACACCAAGCAAGCCTATTGTGTTGTATAACAATAAAATGAATTACAACATAAAAATTTGAGGTTAAAACTAAATCATAAATAATAATTGATATTTTTATATTTGAATTAAGTATTTATTTTAGGTAAGTTTTGATCTTTATCACACTGGAAAATCAATATGGGAACAGGAATTTGGTGAAACATTCTCAGATAAGATCCGTAAATATGTTGAAGAATGTGATAGCATGCAAGGCTTTCAAGTGAATTTTGATTGCACAGATGGTTTTTCAGGACTTGCTCTAAGCAGCATTGAACATCTGGTTGATGAATATTCTAAACCAATACTGGCTCATCCAATAATTGCTTCTTACTTTTCTGATAATAATCCCACAACACAAGAGGAAAGGGACATATCTAATATAAAGGATACAATAAGATTAGTAAACATTGCTTTTTCTATTGAAGAGCTATCCCAGCATGCCACATTTTTTGTTCCCCTTTGTACTGGAGATAAAGGATGGAGAAAACCTGGTAATGTAAGAGCATTTGAGTACCTCAACTATAATTCAGAATTGTATTATCACTCATCTGCTATTTTAGCATCTGCCATAGACACACTTAGTCAGAAATATAGACATAAAAGTAATTTTTATACATTATCAGATGTATGTACCGATATGACAGGTTTTGGCAGAAAGATGGCTGCAGCTTCACTTGGACTTCCGTTCGCCATGAATGAATCACAATATTTAATAGATTATTTAAATACTAACACAAAACCTATTTACACACCCATAACACCCAGTTGTAAAATTGCTACAGATAAAATTTTTCAGCTTATCACTGTTAGAGGAATACCAGAAAATTATTTGAAAGCACCAATGAAAGAAGCAAGAGAGCAAATGAATTTGCCAGCTTATAAGTGCAATAATGTTAAAGAAATGTTTGAATTATATTTTCAAGCAAATAATTTTCTATCCGCTACAAATGTAACAGTATGTGAACAGCCCTTAGAATTAAAAACACCATATCCACAAATATTTTCAAAGAGCTTAAATAAATATGGTTTTATTTCTGAGGAAAGTAATCTAATGAAAGTTGAGAGTTGTCCTGTTATAGCAGGGTACCATAATGGAACCTTTTTATCTGACATGATTGAAAAACTACACAGGGAAGTGAGCAGAATAAAATTTGCTAAATTACACAAGTTTCTGGAGGAAGGTTGTGAAGAAGCCGAATTTAAGGAGCGTTTAGATAAGCTTTCTGAATTCAAAGATAATTATGAAGATGACTTTGAATTATGAGTATGGTATGTTGTAAAGAATAAAATGTCATTGATAAAAATTTCATAGCTTTATTTAAGATGATTTAGATAAAATAAATCATATCCCAGTCACACAAACATTCGCCATTTTATACATTTAAAATACATAGTCTATATAATCAATCACGATGATCGTTCAAGTGCTCTTTCCTTCATTCGTGTAATAAATGCTGCACCTTTGTTTTTTCTAAAATTTTCATATGGGTCATTCAGGTTTACGCCAACACCTATGGAAAAAATAATTTTAATAGAATAAGACTTCTTATCTTTTGAACAGTGTTTATACTACAGAATTAAGTCTGCTTGCTAATTTAAATACATTAAGGCATCATTAGTACTTTGCGTCAGCAATAATAACAAGAAACAGTGGACTCAACAAGATTAAAATTCTCCTCATTTAAAAGCACACTGGTGTACAAATGTTTAACATTAGGTAAGAGTATTGTAATTTTTTTTTGTTGCCTAAAGTTTAAATTAATTCTTAAACTAATGTACTAATTTTGATAGAGAATTAATCACATCGCCATTACTTAATAATTGCAATCTCAGTTGAAAATTAATAAGGTATCATCAATAAATGATATTATATCATGAATATAATCCTACAAAGTAGAAAAGTCATTAGTATAGATTGAAAAACAGGAATAAGCCAATAATTGCGCCCTGAGGAACACAAATTGATACTACAGACCCGTGATGGAGTTCATATTGTTGATAAAGACTTAGTTATGTATGTTACTTATGGAAGAATATTGTCTTAATTGCAATATTTGTTAAAAGTAGCGTATAATGTTGTTTACTGATTAATGTATTCTGAAAGTCACAAAAATTGTTAATATTTACCTTTATATTGATCTTGTTTGTCTCGAACTGTGCCTCCACTGATGGGCTCTGCAATGCCTTGTCCAGAGGCACCTAGCCCGCCAGCGCTCCAGCCCATCTTCTGCAGCAACTGGTGGCCTTTGTTAGTGGGGTCCAAACCACTAGATGATGTTTGAAATGAGGCAGTGCTAAAAACAGTAAATATGATTTATTACATATTGATGACTTGTGAATGTTGATAGTTAATCTTCATGCAGTATTTTACTGCGAAACATATCTTTAGAAAACATAATCGTGAGGAAACCTACATGTCTGAGTTAGTGACACAGTTATGGCAATATTTCGTGATACTATTTAAAATAATATTAAAAATAAGAAGCTAACAGGAAACTAGGTGGAGTTGGTGATCTGGAACGTTCGACGCGTCGCGATCTAGGAGGTGAGTCTCGGGGGCGATCTCGGTCTCGGTCTCGCTCGCGGTCTCGCTCTCGCTCTCGGGATTTGCTTCGTGACCGCGATCGCGATCTGGACCGTGACCGTCGACGATCTAAAACAATCGATACAAAAAAAAACTTATTATTATAATAAAGCACTCATGAATGAACCAGTTTTGTGTTTTTCTAATTAAATTGTTTTTTACGTCGCGCGGTGCAATGCAATGTTGCTTAGTCTATTACTTCATGTTTATAAACTTTATTGCTCCGTGCCAAAGTTCAAGGAACATTGCCGGAATTTACTTCGCAAGGTTTTGCACAATAATATTGCATCAAATCTATTGCTGTCAATGTTGTCCAGCTATAGTTTTCAGCGAAATTTCTAGCAAAATGCAATTTTATAGCCCGTTTACCTGTTTCTTCTAAACACCTTTGTTTACATTTGTAACAGCTCTTACAGTGGTACTACGCATTCATTTCGAGTTTGCCGTCGTCGAACGTTATGACGTCAAAGCTGACGGTACCATAGAGAAAACTATTACTGTTTCAATTGTAAGAAGTACGATTTTTAGTTTATTGCCCTATACAGAGTAATTGGAAGGCAGGCAAGTAGATAAAATGCATATTATTGAATAATATATTTAGTTAGAGAAGTAAAATAATAACACTACTAAATAGATACGTGTCCGATAAAAAATAAAATATTTTTATTATAGTTTTTTATACATTTTAAATGAATAATTTACTGCGAACAAAAACTGGTAGGTAGATATTTACACATCTATAATTTGGATACCAGTTATTTTATCGAAATCGTTCGTTTCTGTATCACTGCCATCACTTCACTCTGTGTTTATCACAAATTTACGAATGTAAAAACTCAAAAGTAACAAAAACAATAACAGTAACAAGGTAGAGATCACAGGGGAGCACAAACAATGAATGTAGAGTTATTTCAGCGTTGCTATTGGTACAATAAGGGCTTGGTAGAATATTAAAAAAAATAACGTAGTAGCAATCAATTATGTATGTAGCCAATGAAATGGGTACATTATTAAATGCTGACATTCAAGAGACTGACTAAAGAGAGCCGAGTGATATAACAAGCCTTAGTAGATTTTGTTATATATCACTAGCTGTTACCCGGCGCGTTGCTGCCACAGAATAAATAATTGAGCAAATATCGTTTTAATTTTGGAAGGGTTATATTGTTTAATTAGGAATGATAATACACTCATTGAAATTGAATGATATATAACTTTCAAATAAATTTTTCGGTGCGATACGCGCGCTACCTACTGTAAGTTAATTGTACTATGCCTATAACATTCATGCAAGTTCAAGCAATAAGTTGACAAAGTTTTGCCGCTATCTGATGAACAGTATGGCAACGCATAAAATACGAATAAGCAAAAATTAATTTTTATATATTAGATAACACAATTTTTTTTTACTTACTGTCCCTGTCTCGTTCCCTTCTCCATGAAGTTTGTTTCCGTCGTGGCGACGGTGATCTTGACTTTGACTTTGCTGGCGATAATTTCTCAGGAGTCTTGCTCTTTGACCTTTAAATAGGAAAATTATGACAAATTACATTGAAACAGACAATTCAGATTTAATATCATCACTCAACTCAAAATAACAGCCATACATTTTTAATAAGCAACAAAGTGGTTTATCAATAAATAACTACTACTAAAATTTGTAAACATTAACTGACTCATGTATTATTTTTATATGGATAGAGATAGTGCTTTTTATAAAATTGAAAATGCAAAACTAAGAATTTATACACTATTTATTACAATCATAATACCCTCTATAGAAGGCAATGAATGCAATTTAAATATACAGGGTTATTTTGCAATAACCGGCAAAATATGCAAAGAAGGTTCAGAACACGTAATATAGGCAAATGGTCAAGAAAAATTAATTGAAAAAATCTCAAACATTCTGTCCTCTTTATCTTTTAAATTCAAAATGCATGGTAATGCATTATTTTAACTGGTTTTACTGCGCATGTACACATGATCGGTAGGTAAAAACCTTGTTGCGCATAAATCACATTCAATTTGGGATAATTTCAAATAAAAGTGGAAGCCTTAGTTACTCGTATTTTCAAAAACTGCAATAAAGGTATATCATTATTTATATATTTGAATTTAAGTTTAAAATTTGGTTACTCTTCGAAAAATAACCCTGTATAATACAGAAATTAATTAATCACTTGAGGTTATATTGTATATGAATCTTGTGCATGTACAATCTGTGCCATTACATCTTACCACCAGGTAAGATAGTGTGATTACACTGGTTCTTTTTAACCTCCAAAACAGAGGGGTGTTATAAGTTTGTCGTGTGTATCTGTGTTTGTCTGTGACATCATAGCTCCTAAATGGATGAACCAGTTTTGATTAAGTTTTTTTCGTTTGAAAGATGTTTTAATTCAGCATGTTCTAAGATATATTTTAAGTAAATCTAAATCAGCCATTTGAAGATCATCAGCTCTTTTTGTTTCCGGGGTTTTTTAAATTTTTTATTTAAGTTATGCAAAGTTTTTACATTTCACATTATAAGTAAAAAAGGAATTTATCTATTCGGAGTATTGCACTTTGTGTATATCGAAAAAATAAAAACTCAAAATTGCGAGTAAATTCCAGTAATAGTAATGGAGACGTATTCAAGATGCGAGGCGGCGTCTTGTGACGTTCGGTTCTAGCCACCATTAAACCACCTGACAGTGTAGTAATTTAAACAGCTTTTTTGCTGTAAAAAGACCTACAATATGCCTGAGATAATGAAAATCAATTACCCTTGTCGTACGTCATCCGCATATACAACTTAACTATATGATATGATGTTTCTATGTATAATATGCGTAAAGATAGAATCTATGCTGATTTTATGGCACTGATCTTGTAGTCGTATCTTTTATAAGGTTATAAAAAGTTAAAAAAAATTAATACTCATACAAACTGACCAGGCCGACTTTGTTCTTCCCTTTCCGACAACCCTTTGTCTGTTAAAAAAATATTTAAATTCGCAATAAAATATTGAGGGTCACTTATCGGGACAACAACTATATAAGCAATACATATTTACAAAATTTCATTAAAATCTACTGAGTGGTCTCTTGAGTTCGTCACGAACAAACCATGTGACACAATTTTATAGAATAGAATAGATATATAAGTGACATACTGTCACAGTTATGAGTTAAATAAATAAAGTTGAATTTAAATCACATTATCTTTTTTTTTTTATAAAATTATTCATCCGAGTGTAAGTTACAGTACAAAATTAAATTTAACAATTGACAAATTAAAGAGTCACGAAAATATTTGGCAGTGTAACAACTCCACCAACAACACCGTTTTCTCATAGTAATAAACATTAATGCAATGTACTACATTTCTTGTAGCAATAAAAATGTTTAATAAATAACCTGTAAGTATGTACATAATCTTAATAAATTATTATGAGTATAATAATGTCCATAATTATTTTATTCCCAGTTTTGTGACAACCATAGCATTTTGCATAGGACAGCATAAATACCTACATGGACTGCAGTATCGCCTAACGTCAAAGACATTTGTAAACTGTAGTACTGCATTTAAACTGTGATATTATCATCAAATATTTTTGCTATAATCCTTACTTCCCTTACCTGTATCTCCTTCCAGGTGGAGTAGGTTGTTTCTGTAGGTCTTTAGGTATAGGA